TCTTTTTCAAAAGCGGGGAGGCCTATTATAGGAATTGGGGGCAAGGAGCTAAGCTACGCAGGTGGGATTAAGTCTTGTGTAATTTACAGACTAGTTGTTACCAGCAAAGAAGGGAGCAGTATGAGTGTGCCCTGATTCCTGAAGTTGGAAAAGAAACAGCACTCAGAAGCCCTTTTATTTATTTATTTTAAAATTTGTTTCAGTAATTCTCCAAAACAGGATTCCTGACTTAGGGGAAACTGTGAGAAAAACATGACTCCTAAGTTACTAAAGTGTAAAACTACAGCGTTTCCATAATGGTGGTGTCTACAACCCGAGGGCATGCGATTAAATAAGCTTAACTTGTTACAAGGAGGGAAAATATTTACCCATAAACTAGGCTTCAGCCACATGTAGCATTTTTTCCAATCTCTGTTTATCAAATCTACATGTAGATAAAAAAGGGTTGAAAGTTAGTTACTCCAGTATTTAGAGAGAACACACAGCTCAGACGGACTGCGTTTAGAATCTCCAGTTACACCACACTCAAGATAGAGGCAGAATAGGAGACAACCACTTGGTATCCCTAGCAATGACTGCTTGTGTCACCTGGGTCTTGCCCTAAATTCTGCTCAGGTGCTGGACACAAAAGAACTGGTAGAATCCACTTCCAGCAGGCCTTCACTGTCTCATTGCCCTTGGAGAATGCCATGCATTCATTTGCTCAAACATTTATTTTTTAGACTCCACTTTGGATTTAATCACTCACTTATCTTCCTGCCAAAGTATTTGTGCTGGTAAAAGAAGGCAGCTGATCTGGATAGAACCTGCTGTTTCTGCTTCTGTCCAAAGGCTAGTGGGAGAAAGGCTAAGGACAGTGACTCTGGGGTTGAATGGGGTAATTGTTCTGGTTGTTTTTTGGTTGTTTTGTTTTGTTTTACCTTGAAAGAAAATTCAGTTTTGAAAGCTCTGAGATAAGTGGGAAGGTTTACCTAAAAACATCATTTGCCATCTCAGGAGTCTTTATTTAGCAGAAAACAGGTCATCCTTGTCACATCATCAGTTGGATAAAATTGCACACATTGTTTGGGTAATTGAGGTCAATGAAGACATTTAGACTTTATTTTCCCAAGTACTTTTGCTTTCCTGACATGAATTATGGGCCTCGTTTAGGCTCATATTCTTATTTCCAGACCGTGTTGCCAATTTAGTGGATGCATTTGGAAGACTCACACAACAGACCCGTAAAACCCCATAGCAATTGTTTTGAATTACCAGGCTGTGTAGTTTTTGCAGTTTCTTTTTGTTATTCTATCATTTTTCTATCCAGCTCAGTATGAATATATTAAATGTTGCATAATTTTGCTAAATCTGTACCTGAAAATGGAGGTATCATCCAGTTTGCTTGGTTCAATTGCTAGAAATATAACATGTATCATTGTCAACAAAGTCCTTAGGATACGTGTGTCATTTAAAGGCAGGTGAGAAGTTTTCCCAGTTTGATTTTTTTTTTTTAATATTTATTTTTCAGTTTTCGGCAGACACAACATCTTTGTTTGTATGTGGTGCTGAGGATCGCCCAGTTTGATTTAATATCTTGACTTCTCTGCCATCACTTTTCTTTTCCTACTTACAAGCATATCTGTTCCTTTCTTTCATCTGGAGAACATAGGTCCTTTCCCACTAGAATCTTATGCCTCTCTGCACATCTTTCAAAGTTCTGGACAAATCCACCTTTAACATGCATCATTCCAGAGGAACTAAACCAGCATGGGGTGCACTGTTCCTGGTCACCTGTGCCACCTCCCACTCATTTGACTCTTCACTGAAATGGAACTGAAGTAAAGACACAACAAAAATAAGTTCACTTCCTCTTTGTTTTGTCTGGTCTTCTAATGCCTAACTAACTTCCCAATGGGCGAGGATAATATCTTACAGATCACCCTCTTGTTAAAAACATGTTACCCTCCTTGAGCCCAGGAGGCAGGGGAGATGAATGAAAAGCATGCACTTGGGAGGGGAAAGTATAGGAACTTAAGAATGAAACATAATAGGATTTGCTCCTTGGCAAGATATGCTGCATACAAGTGGAAAGTATGCAGTATTTATTTTGAGCCCTCATTCAGTTTAGCATCCCATTGTGCCCCCCCAACACACATACACACACACACACACACACACATCCCTCCTTATAATGTTTCTGCTTCATCTCTTCTACTTCTACGGTAGCAAGACCTAGTTCTCTGCTCTTAGCCTGATTTGGTCTCCAGTTTCCTGCTGCTGCTACACAAGGTTTCGTCAGACACTTTGGGGGAATGCTATGCTTGGTTTTCTCATAAGCGAGGAAATCAAGTGCTATGCAACACTTAACGGTCCAAAATTTGTCCTGCACTGTAAGTAACAGAATTCTAAAATAACTAACTAAAAACACATTGAAGTGAACCATAGCATGCTCTGAGTTATTGTTTTCATTTTGTTTTTATCATTTTATGAATCTTTGTTTCCATATGGGATCAAAATAATTTCACGTCTTTCAGATATGCGGCTGCTACCTGTAGCCTGCATATTCCTAATTATAGAGTAAAGAATATATGCACATTTATCTCCCCACAAGAAATATGCAGCTCGGAGTCTGCTGATACTGTGGAATGTCAGCGAGCAAGATTTTATAATTTCTGTAATCTCTTGAAAATATGGTGTGTTGCAACCCAAGAGTAAGCTTGTTATCTCTAATGGCACATCTCTGGAAACAAACTCAGAAAATAGCTTAGGTCATCAGGTAGCTGATTTTATGGTTGGAAATGACTGAAATACTTACTAGCTCTTTGTGATCACCAAGTTCTCCAGAGAAACAAAAACGAGGGGATAGGTAGATGGGTAGACGTATGTGAGGATATGTGTTAGGAAATGGACCCTGCAATCCCAGAGTCCAGATGTCACATGGGATTCCTTCTGTGGCTGGAGAACGAATATGTGTGATTCAGGTGGCTCCCAAGCTTGAGGACCAGAGGACCTGATGATGTGGCTTAGACTGAGTCTGAAGACCTGAAAGCCAGAACCTCTGATGTCTGGCCGGGAGTGATGGATGTCCCAGCTCCAGAAGGAAGAGTAAGTCCTCCCTTCATCAGCGGCTTTTTTTTCTATCTGGGCTCTTAACAGTGTGGATGATATCTACCCACATTGCTAAAGGGACTTTCTTTACTCAGTCCACTGATCCAAATGCTAATCTCTTCCAGAAACTCACTGACAGACAAACCCAGAAATTGGGTTTTACTGGCTGGGCACCTCTTAGTCCAATCAGACTGACACAGAATTTTAGCCATCACCTCCATCAATTTATAAAGGTGAAAAGCTAGTAAAAAACATTCCTTCAGAAAGGAAGAAGTAGAGGAAATAAAATCTATAAGATGTAAATTAACCTCTAAGATGCAAGTATGAATGTTATATTATTTTCCTGCTGTGACAAAGTACCAAAAACTCAGTAGCTTAAAACAGCAGAAATTTCTTCTTCTTTTCTTTTTTTTTTTTGGTACCAGGGATTGAACTCATGGGTGCTAAACCACTGAGCCACATCCCTAGCCCTCTTTATATTTTATTTTGAGACAGGGTCTTGCTATATTAGTGAGAGTCTTGCAAGGGTTCTGAGGCTGGCCTCAAACTTGCAGTCCTCAGGCCTCAGCCTCTCAAGTTGCTGGGACTACAGGGGTGCACCATAGCGGCACCTGGCTAACAGAAATGTATTCTGACTGCTCAGGAGGCTGGATATTTGGATCAAGCCACAGGACAGTGGCTTCCACTGGGAAGAAAGTTTTCTTGCCTTTCCCTGTTTCATCTGGTCCCTGTGTTCCTCGCCTTCTGGAAGCTGCTCTCCATGCTCTGCCTCCATCTTTATTTGACCTTTATACCAGTGGGTGCATCTAGGTCCAGATTTCCTCCTATTTTTTTTGAGGATCTCAGTCACCTTGGATTGGGGCCCACTATAATGACTTCAATTTCCTTCAGTCACATCTACAGACATTTTTTTCCCCAAATAAGGTCGTATTCACAGGGTACGAGAAGTTAGGGGAACCCCTATCCATCCCATCATAGATGGGGAGAGCCAAGAGAGACTCCACAATATCCTTGGAAAAGAGTCGAGAAATGCAGCAAAATGAAGGAAGAATTTACTTTCATTGTCTTACAAAATATCTTAAAAAAAATATGGTTGAACTTTAAGTTTATTTCAGCCATCCTAAAGTGGTTAGATAATCCTGGACACAAGCACTTATTTTTCTGCTTACTGTTTGGATCTTTCATCCTTTTTAAGATGTGTCTTTTGGACAGTGCTTCTGTGATTTCTGTAACTAGAGGAAGTTGATTAGGTGTCAGCAAGCCATCTTAGTAGGGGTAATTAAATGGGACAACACCTTTCAAAAAGAGGAAGAAGATCAAATAAAAAGGGGAAATAAAAGGAACCATGACCCGTGGATGGGGGAAAGGTAGGAGACATGAAGCATTCTCCAAAATAGTTATCCTATAAAGAGGGAGAAAATTGGGATCTGGGTATTGACGCACAAGCTCATGACTCAGATTTTCTTCCATAACTTTTTCTTGCGCCCCAGACAGCTCTCGGGTTCTGAAGCTTCCTCTATATTTTCCAGACTTTCAAGCCTAAAGAGAAATAACAATAGTAACATTTGCATTTACTTAAGACTTTGGAAAAAAACAAAGTGAAAATAAAAGTAACCTTCAAGGAGCGTCTAAATGGAATTACTGACTCAAATCTCTTGGCCTAGACTGTGCTTTGGTCCTCATTTTCATGGTAGCAAGAGAAATATTTTCAGGCAGTGCAGGGTGGGGAAGTTGGGAAGGTGCAACTACCAATAAAATCTGTCTCTAAGAGAAAGTATCTTCCTGTTGAAAGATAATCGCTCAGTCAGTGTTACATTTATCCATTTGAGAAAGTTGAGGAAGTTGAAAGACCCTGAGCTGCTAAGAATGAGTGGACCTATGTATTTATAGGGATGCTTTTCATATTGCAGGGATGGGCTGGTGAAATATTTAAGTGATCACCAACATCCATTGCACCTACTTCTGAGTCAACGAAGAAAGAAGCTAGAGAAATACAGCCACCAGGAAAAATGAGAGAAATGGCAACATACATTTACCGAACTTTTGAGATCAAAATGAGTTTGAGTTGGTACATTCGAGGAGGTTGGTATTCATTATACCACTATCCTGCACTGGTACAAAACAATTTTTGACAGTGACATAGAGTCACATTTGGAAGTCAATGCACAGTGGGCAAGCCGTGCTTACATTTGCTGTGCTGGGGTTGGTAGTCCTGGGAAATGGCAGGGACTGCTGTTCTTCAGATTCTTTATTGCAGAACCAGAGAACGTGTCCCTCTGGGACAAATTGGCATCATTGAGTACTTTTTTACAATCGATTTCGTAAAGAGCAGAAAGACTAAATTATAATTAAATTTATCAAGCTTTAACATATTGGCTGGTAATTAAATTTCTGAAAAAGGTAAGAGGCCTTGAAAATAAGCATTTTTTAATGTATTTTTGACTCATCTTATGGAAGCTTCTAAATAATTTCTGCATTTTTGTATGTTTGCTTTATTCACAAAATAACTCGATTTATAAGTCTTTGGGAGGGAAATTACAGTACAGAAAATGTATTTGTGTAATGAGTCTGTTAAACTCTATTAAGCACCATACTGTGCTGTTTCTTGAAGAAGCTGAGTGTACAAATGGATGCATAAACTCTGCAGCAATCTCCTGAGAAGTCCAACTACAACCTTGGTAGCACTCAGCCTCAAGTGGTCAGAACTTGGTCAGTGATTGTTAGCTTCCTCATTTTGGTCCCAACTTCGAACTCTGAACCCACCAGACAAAGAAATCATGCTCTCTGAACCCAACACATAAGAGGCTCTGCTTCTGGTCAGCCCAACTCCAGCTGCCCACATCAGCCACTTCTGATCAGAGCACACCTGCGTGCTCCCGGTTGGCCTCTGTAAAGTTGTTTCCACTCCTCTGCCTGCCTTCCAGTTTCTGACAAATGAAAGTAACTTACCTGGCTCCCTGGCTGAATTGAGGTCTGAATTAATAAGCTCTCTGTTTTTCATTTATGTGGTGTTTTTGCTTCTCCTCAAAGACTTTATTATGTTCTCTATACAGATGCCATTAAATGGCAAGAGTAGCCCTGCCAGAGGAAGAAACTCACCAAGACCCACCGAATATCGCCTGTGGCAACTATGATTTGCAAAGCCAGAAAAATGGCTGTAACTGGTTCAAACTAGCGTCAAGATTCTTTGAACTAGCTCAGGTTTCTGATGATTTGATGTTTATATTACTCAGTCCTCTTTCTAGGTCATTCCAGCAAGAATTGTATTGCTATGACTCTGATATAGGTAGCTTTTCTCTTTGTGGATCTATCAGAAGTAACATGACATTTGTCTGTAGATAGATTAAAGTGACTCTGTTTCTTTAAGGTCGGTTTCACCTCTACTGAGAATTGTGTGTTCTCTGATGTTACATGGTTTCTATTCAAATCCTGCCTATAACTTTTATTCATTATGTGACTTTTTAATAGCATATTAACATGTTTAATTATTATTTTGCTTGTTTAAAAATTGCTATGATGGGCCAGGTGTGTTGGCACATATCTATAATCCCAGCAGTTCGAGAGAGGCTGAGGCAGGAGGATCTCAAATTCATATGCAATAAGTGTATGTTGAGAAATCGTCCCAGGTGTTCCCTTCTCCATTATTATCTGCCTTAGTGAGGCCCCAAGGAACTTGGCAAGACCCTATCTCAAAATTTAAAATTCAAAAAAAAAAAAAAGAGCTGGGGATGTGGCTCAGTGGTTAAGCACCCCTGGCTTCAATTCCTGGTGCTCCTCTCCTGAATTGCGATGATGGGGTTAATACCTTATAGATTGTTTAAGAACTAAAACAGATAATTCCTGTAAACCAATTACCGAAGTTCTAATGTGTACTAGTTTCTCAGTGACTAATACCTACTATTATTATTACATCAAAATCAGTGTTTACCTTCTTAAATGAAAAATCTTTTGTACATTTGATGTGACAACATAGCATTCAGAGCCAAGATTTGGAGATTGCTGGTAACTTGATAATTTTTTCAGATGTTATTAGGTATCAGATAAGCTAAAAGAAACTATGTGCATTAAGTGACAAGGGAAATTTAGGTTCTATCTGCATAATTCAGGGGCTGGCAACCATCCACTGGGCTGTAAATCAAACCTCTCAGAACTCACAGGGTTTGGTATCAGACAATCAGGTCTGTTTTGACTTCAGCTTTCTTGGTTGAGCAGGTTACAGCTGGTAAGGTGGTCAAGGTTTTCAGACATGGATTTTACTTTTTGGAGGGTAGACAAATCTATATTTAAAATACAATACTCTAGAAGCATGGAAAGATAGGAGACTCAGCCGAGCCAAGAGGTAGCAGCGTGTCCTAATATATTTAATGCTCCCTCTTTTCTTGGTGATCCCACTAGAATTAAAGAGACCATCAGACATGGTGAAATATTTATCGGGTAGATGTGATGTGTGCACATTTAATTTCTGAATAAAATAAAGGAAAAATTCCTGGGTGTTTTTGGGTAGACTTCCGTTGATGTGATCACAGATACAGAGTTAGCCACTGGAGACGTGAGCTCACTGGGGTGGGTGGGGGCGTGGGGGATTCTTTCCTTTGACTAAATTACAGATCTCCCCACAAAGCGCTGCCGGGGTGGCACAGCCAGTGTGCTCCTGTCTCCTCACTGATGTCAGAGATCTGCACCGGGAGGTCTCCAGAAAATGTTGCTGGAACAAATGTCTTGAGGGAATTTCACTGTTTTTGTCACGAAGGCCATTTAGTGGTCAAACTGGAAACCAAGAATGGAATAAGTTACCTTGTTAACATTCTTAAATCAAAAAGTGTTTATTTTGCCTGGTGGGTCTCCAACAGAAAGGACAGCAGCAGATAATAATGGAGAAGGAAACACCTGGGACGATTTCTCAACATACACTTATTGCATTAGGCTCTTAGGAACTGTTCCTAAGCACGAGCCCCCATGGAAACATTTTTTTTTTCCTACGTCCCGACAGTGACTGTTTCAAATATTTTCCATTCTCTTTAAGTTTCTACTCTTGTCTCTTCTCCCCATTACCCTTTCTACATAACAGCAAATTGACTTCTGAAAAGTCTTGCCCTTTGACCTACAGACCCAATGGCATCCATACCCATCCTTCTCTTGAAATCATCTTTGACTTTTTTCCATCTCATCCCAGTCTTTCCCCATTTTCTCCACTCAGCTCTGCCATCTCCTTTCCTTACCCCTTTCTTCCCAAATGGATTGCAGATTATTGCAGATTCTGACTCCCATGACATGTATCTCTTGAGTTCGTTCCTGTCCTTTACCTCCTTAACACCCTCCCTGTCTTTCCTCTGGCCAATTCATTCTCACTAGCAGAACCCGATTCCTCAATGCCCATCTTGAATGCTGTAGGTTCATGCTAATCAGATGGTGTGAGTCTCCTGGGCAAAGCCTCTTTCACAGTCCCTCAGAATAATCCACATGTTTTGCGATGATGATTTTGCTGTTCTCTGCTAGCTCTGTCTCCTAGTCTCCCCCTCTCAAACCCAAGATAGAGCCAAGTATGCATTTCGACTTTTCCTGCTAACTCGTTTTCAGTGGTATCACAGTTGGCCTCCACCAGTTTCATTCAGCAGGAATAGAGCAAGGGTGTAAATTGTACCCTTGGGGAAAATGTGACTCAGCAAGTAACTACTGTAGAGCGGATTCGCTGGTGAACAAAAACAAACATGTCCAACGCTTCTAAGAAACTAGGAGGCTCCCAGAGAATAGAAAAGGCTAGAATGAAAAGAGGCTTACTCATTAGTTGAGTTTTAAGTTAAATATTTTTAGAGTTTCTGCAATTCATGATAAGGGCTTAAGTGCTTACGGATTATATGAAAGCATTTTAAGACTTTAAAATAAATCATTTTGCAGCATCACTCTTAATAAGTCAGCAATTTAAATGCAGTTTCTTTTTTTCTTCTATACCAAAAGTTTCAATAATGAATCAGTGGTTGCTTCCAAACATAATTTTAAGGGAATGTACAATGATGCATTGACCACCCAATTTTATTTCTAGCACTGACACCAAAGGACAATTTATTTTTTTCTGACCCAAATATTAGAAGTGAGAGGCTTCCTTGTTATTTTGTATACTTACAGATTTACTACATTCAGAGTAACTTTGAAGTAGAATTTTGAGTGGAACCTGGGGTGTCTCTGGACTGGTCAAGCAGCACTCCTCTAATTATAAATTAAGAGATATTGCATCTTAAAAGAGGCATTTAGGAAACCACCAGAACGTTGAGCAAACTCTAAGGCATGATTTTTAATACAACACTGTGCCAACATTGCTTTGCACCAGCTCACAAGGTCCAACTGAGCACACCTCTCAACTCTTACCATACTGATACCTCACGTCAGTGGCTTGAAATAGCCATGATTGGAACAGACGCCACAGGAATTGGGGTTCTACAAATCAGACATTTATATCTTTCTAAGAGAGTTGTTATCAGCAGGCCACTGTTGACGAATAAGTTGACCAAGTGTCCAGCAGTCCTGGTTAGTAGTATGGTCCTGTTAACTCAGAATTATTACATTTGCCCTGCTCTTTTCACTATCAACAGTGACAGATTAAATGATTGCTATGTTACTGGAAATAATTGCAGCCTTTGGGGAGTTTTCAGCAGCAGAAGTGAAGACTAAGTTAGAAGGCAACTGAGCACACCTCTCTTTGTCTGAAGAAGTGGCTGTTGGGAGTGGGATGAGACTTGTTTTACCGAGCTTCAGGGGACAGCTTGAGTATGGAAAAGTCTTGTGAAAGCTACAGACACATTTTTATCTAAGTTGAGGAAAAGACTTCCTCTGTGGTTATGTGGAGTTATCCTAAAGTAGGAACAGATCGCATGGGGATCATTAAGGTCCTGGTTCATGATGAAGCAGAATGACAGGAAAGAGCTGAGAGCCATTGGAAGGGATGCTGCTAGAGAGGGCATTAGACAGTCGCTCTTGCCGTATACTTCCCTCTGCTGATTCAGATCACTGTTGAATCTTCTCATAACACTATTTGATTCAGTCCCTTTTGCAATTCTCAGAAGGACTTGCCTGGCAGTGTGTATGTT